AGTAGGTAGGCAGCGTTTGCAGACACCTGGGTAGATAGGAGCAAAATCACCCTTCAAAATCTCACTGAAGTGTTTGTTGTTCCCGATAGATGTTTCAGTTGATTTTGCCATAAGGCAACCCTCTCAAAGGATGTTTTCTGAGTAGATGCACTCTTCTACTTCAAAGTTGTTTAATGCTTGGTTCTTTCGCTTAACAGAAGCAACTACCTTCTGGAATGAAGACTGGTTTAGCAGAAGTGCCCCAGGAGAAGAAATCTGCCCTGTCGGCTCAGCTGCATTCACATCTTGCCAGAAAGCCTCCGTTGGGTAGTTCAGTGGCCCATCAGGTTCCAAAGCTTCAGGAGGAGAACAAGCCTTCCAGAACCAAGCTCCCGGTTCCTGCAGGTTAGCTGGCTGAACTTGTGGGTGGGTTTGGGCTGGAAACAGAATTGGAATGGGCCTTACATCCCTGCTCAGTGCAGGATCTCCAGTTAAACCATCACTAGCAAGTAGTTGTCCAGTCCACACCCTTTCTGAAAACACCCAGAAGTGAAGACCCTCCACTTCTCTAGGCAATTGGTTCCATTGCTGAACCACTCTTGCTGTCAAGAAGATCCTTGTACTGTTCAATCAAAATCTGTCTAAAACCACTAGACCTGGTTTTATCCCAGGAGGCAACAGAGGGCAAGCCTGCACCCTTCTCTTTGTATTTAAGGCATTTAGAGAGTGTAATCAACTTATATGTGTTGTTCTCTAGTCATGTTATTGTCCTCATTGCCCTTCTCTGAACTTCCTCCAAGTTGGATCCAATTTAGACTCCTTGTGACAAAAGCGTGAGACCTAAACTACAAAAAGAATATCACGCTTCTCCATAAGCTGCTTTTATTTAAGCGATAGCTCAGGTTGTACATCAATACCTCTTCTTTAGTAGCCAAGTCTTTGTCAAGTGGCAAGACTAGGCTGCATGTAGGAGCAGGTTGAGGAAAGAGAGTAAAGGGCCTACGTATCAGAGGGTGGGAAGGAGGAAAGATCTGGGTGGAGTTTTCAAGGGCTTTACCTAAGCTCTTGGTAAGTGCAGTGACCTATTATTACGTTTATGCTTATTTCTACCCCACTTTTTCTCTCCATAAAGGAGACTCAGAACAGCCTCGATCAGTATT